ACCCTAAGCATCACTGCACCGCAGCTAAACATGTCCTGAGGGCAGGGCTATAGCAATTGGTGCCAGAAGTTCTGATGATAGACAGATGGAGGAGAAGAGGCAGCAGTGGCAGCCAGGGATCCCTATGGAAGAGGACTAGGGAGCCTCAGGCTAATTCAGCCTTTTAGTTGCCACATTACACAGTTGTGAGTTTGATGGGATTTTTAAATAATTACAAGAGCTCTTTTCTCAAAATATTGTTTCTTCTGATGGCACTCAAAATTGGCAGGTTTCATGGCTAAAATGTCTATGGCAGTAGCCCTATTCTGGCATTACCAGTGTAAATTGTGGTGCTCCTATTCCATCCTTTTACATTTCTATCATTCTCCTCACGTGGAAGGTGGTCTTCTGATAAGGAGAGCTTCCTCCATGTGTGGAGCTTGTCTTATGATTTACAAAGGTTACAGGGTTCAAAGTTGTGAACTGTGTTGAGAACCATGCATGAAAGAAGCCCTTTTCTTCAGAAAGTCCATCTTCAAATGTGGAGAGCAAAGGAAGTACAACAGAGAACCCGCCTCACCTGTCTATTTAACCTAGATTTTAGATTAGATTAGGTATCCTTTGGTCTTGAGAGACTATGGTAACGTGCTCTGTATGCAGAACTTGGAAAAGTGTCTAGTGTGGCTGAGAAGGCATACTTCTAGATTTATAGATTTATAAATTTATTTATTTATTGAGCTTATATGCCGCCCATTTAGACATAGTCTACTCTGGTTGGCTCACAAAACACGTAATAAAAACAATTAATATAAAATAACAGTTTCCAACATTAACACAAAACAGAATAGATAAAGATAGAGAGAGAAAATTACGTAGTGTCTGGAGGGAAGGCCTGTCTGTATAACCAGGTCTTGAGTTGGTTTTTGAAAGTGCCCAGCGAGGGGGCCAGATGAATCTTGGAGAGGGGGAGCGTATTCCAGAGCCTGGGAGCCACTGCCGAGAAGGCCCGTCTTGTTTTTTCTGTCCAGGCCTCCCTCGGCGTTAGGCTCCTCAGTCGCCCCTCCTGACTAGATCAGGTGATAAGAGTAGATCTAGGTGGAAGGAGGCGTTCTGCCAAGTATTGAGGTCCTAAACCGTTTAGGGCTTTGTATGTGATCATTAGAACTTTGAAATCAACGCTGAATTGAATGGGCAGCCATTTATACTGCCAGGAAAGATTTGGTGTTGTCCAGTGTAGAATGTATTATTATTACTAATCCAAAGTGTGAAACAGAGGCTAAAAAGCCAAACCCTGCTAGCTGGATTTTGGAAGAAAAACTGCTACTATGATAGTAGCCACAGCACCCAAAGCCATTCTCACCAGTGCCTTTCACTGGAATGTGCCGCTTTGCATTACACCCATATTTCCAAGTGAAGTCCCTCAAGTCAGGGTCATAGACTTGGGGCTGGTAATGGCGTCTGAATTCAGTATCAGGAGG